AACATAAAGACTCTTTAACTGCTCTAGATTTACTGTACATATATGTGAACAATATGTACATAATGATTTTCTGTAGATTTAGATTCTAAGTCCAGCAAAGATCTTAATCAAAGGTCTTGCATCTTCCTGGAGCCTCAAAGTACCTCAGAAAACGGGTACAATACGGTACAATTATATTAGTATACAGTATACATGTTGTTTTTTGTATCATAGGGTCATGTCACTGGTCATGTCCCATTTAAATGTCCTAAGGTCATTACGAACCTATAACGAACGGTCAGCCGTGTCCAGGTTCTCATCTCCTCATCTTCTCGCCCGGGCCTCGCGGCCACGCAACTGGCGCAAGGACAACGCGCACCTCGAAGCGAAAGGCAGATCGGTGAAGCAAACAGATCCATGCACGGCTTGACCGACTTGGATTGTGCTTCCGAACCCCAGGAACATGCGACATTGCATTGGATTCACCTCAATGGGGCAAATACACTCTCCCGATCAAAGCCAGGGACCTCGGCGAGTTTCAGTGGCCCCTGCTTAGGTATTTCTGGGAGCTTAAACATTTCAAGCATGGTTCGACTAAATGACTCGAGTCCAGGAATTTCCTGACACCTTGGGTGGTGCCAATCATCAAACTGGACTCTTCAGAGCCTTACCTTCGGGATCATTGATTGGTGGTTTCAACTCACTTGAAAACTACTACAGTATATAGTCAGTTGAAACCATCACCTAGCATATGATAGGCCCAAGTGCCAAGCTACCAGTAAAAGATAGTGAAAGCCATATTGCTGGAAGCCCAACTTGGACGACCGACTAAGCAAAACAAATATCCGGCCTTTGCCTTTCCAAAAAAGAATTGTTGGATGGGCTCCGGGAAGAAAACCATCAAGAGATCAATGATTGCAAAAACAGGTGGGTCAACAGGTAAAGAAAAAACTCTCCAAAAGTTTGCAATCCCCATCAAGAAAGAACTGCATCTCTCATCTGAGCGTCTCCTCTCCGTCTGCGGGGCCGCAAACATCCTCTGGCAACTCCTCCGCAAAGGCCAGCACCTCAAGAGCTGCAGCTGATCTGAGTTGGATGGCCCAGTGCAACTGCTTTCTGCTTTCGCTAGTAGCCAGGTAGGGAAATGGGCCGAAGCCTGTCCCAGGCAGCCCCTGTCCCACACCAACCGAACCTAGATTAGGTGAAGCATCGATCCACACAGAATCGATTCCATGTGGGATCCACAGAATCCATGTCCATCAACTGCATACCATGCGGTGCCTAAATCCATTATAGCTATATAATATATATATAGACTATATATATATATACAGCCTTAATTGTGGGGTCACTAGTGACACTAGTGGGTTCCAGAGGAAACCAGGTCCCAATTTCAACAAAACCACCCGAACTTCTTCCCAAGATCCCTCAAAAACAAGCATGCGTGCTTCCGCCATCGCCCGCAATCATGAACGCGTCTTGTGGGGCCAAGTGGCAAAAGCCAAAGTGATGATGAATGATCGGAGCATCGCGTATTACGCAAAGAAATGCTGACAATGGAAGCAATAGTTGTGGCTTGAGCAGCTGCGCTGCGGGAGTACATGAGACAAACGTTGAGACAACCGATGACAATGATTCAATGAAACCCAGACACTCCAGGTATGCCAATATCGTATTTGCCTACATTGGGATGGTTTGGGGGGGTCAATGTCGGCACATATGGGAGTCCCATGGGTCGTGTCTGGGAAAGGTTGAGGATCGATCGTCAATGGTCGTGCCGTCGATCGTTGCCGGCCAACAATGGTTGTTGCCTACTGTCAACAGGCTGAAATCTGATTGGTGTTCTTCCTGCTTAGGACATCTACAGCAAAGTAGATGGCACGAACCTCAAGATGAGCTTTAGATGGGGGTTTATATAAACCACCTTGCAGGGATTGTGCCATCTGCTCTCATTCCACATCATTCCACTATCTTCCATGTTGGATGTTGATGGTGAGGGTGTTGGTGTTTGCACAACGCTTCCGACGCCGATGAACTGTCAGGGTGAAGACATGGATGCCTGCCATCACCGTTGACAAGTTGAACATCAGGGGGGGTTCGATGATCTATAGATGTTGACATATGACATAAATCAGAAATCTAATACCTGGACCCTCCAGTCCAAGGGGTGTCCTGGCTGGACTACCCCACACTACCGGCCTAGGCTTCCATTGGGCACCCCTCGGAGGGTCCTGGTATATGGTTAGTTGGTTTGCCATGCATTTTGGGTTCTCTGGCCAGGCCCACGGTCCATCTCTTCGACCCCTCCAGCTGCTTCGACCCTCCGGATGGTTGGTCCGCGCGGATGCTGCGTCCGGATCTGCAGCAGAAACACCGTCCATCCAGCAGTCACAAAGGGGTGCCTATTGGAGGTTAGGGGTGCCCATGATCGACTCACTTAGGGGCTAAACACCACCCTTTGGTGACTCCTGGATGTCATTTCTCAACGTGGCAGGCCTGCTACTTCATGACCTCTTCTGTGAGCTGCTGGAGCACGCGGATCAAGGCCTGGCTGAGGACTGGCAGCCAGGTCAGTGGCAGAGTGGCACTCGTGCCACCCCACTCGAGAGTGGGGCGTGACCAGTCGTTTCCTGCACAACTGGGAAATCCTTCTCAGCCTTTCGTGGAATACAAAAACACCTCCAAAAGAAGAATAATGAAAGAATCCAGAAGATGTGTGAACTGAACATGACTCCAGCGTTCAGCCAGTTCAGTACCCCATTTCTCCGAACCTTCATAGGGATTTCACCTGGGATCTCCTAGGATGTCGTTCTTTTTTGGGGGGGGTCCCGTTCGGTGTACGGCACGCACGTTCGGCTGCGCCTCGGAGGACATCTCCACGAGCAGTGCCTCACCGGCCGCGAGGCCGACCGGTCCGGTCGAGGACCGCCGGTCCGGTGGACGACTTGGTCGCCCCAAAAAACCGAGTCCTGTCGGGGCGAAGCCGGGTCCTGGTCTAGACGTCTGGACAAGACGTTAGACCGTTAATTGGTGGTTTGGGGCGAACTGAGCTGCAGGCGACTTCTTAGTAGAGGTGAAATCACCTGACCAGACTTCTTAGTGGAATTGCAGGATTCAGGAGGTTGATTTAGACACCTTTGACATGTTCGGTCCAACTTAATGAATGGCCAGGAATCCTGCTGGTGAGTCTACTCTTTCACAGTGGGCAAGACCGAACAGCTTTGAGCCGTTTCAAAGAGGTTTCCAGGAGGTGATCTATATACTTGTCCTGAGTCAGGTCGGGATGAACCGGATCAGCTTCCTCACCGATCCCCAGCAAAAAAAGGCCCGAAAAAGGACGTAAGCAAAGCCTATAGCAACTAGCAGCTTCCTCAGGGGGGGTGGAGGGATGTGGTGGTGGATAGGGCCCTGATCTACATTTAAAGCAAACTGGACGAAGAGGTCTCATCTCATTAACTCCTCTCATCCTGGATCGTACTGCTCCGCCTGGATCTTACTGCTCCGCGAGGCTTCAAAGCGCTTCAATCGGACCTGAAACACAGCAGATCCTTTTCGGCGAACGTGACCAGGTCGGGACGGTGCACAAAATGTCTTCAAGGCATACGGGGTAAGGTTGCAGATTCGTTGTATTGTAGCCATGGTCGCGGTAGGCAAACCAACCCCGGAAACTGACGAATCCCTATACCACACCCCAAAGTTACTGTTTCAGAAAGTTTCACTCAGGATATGAGAAACCAACAGCATTGAAATCCGGTGGCCACTCTAGGTTGGAGAGGACCGCTTTGCCAAAGATAGAGCTTTGCATGGGCAAAATCATAAAACATATAATCTCAAGGTGCTTACCATGTCTTGGAGGAAACTGAAAGAAATCCAGACCATTTCTCACAGCCCATAGTTTTGCCTTTGGCATCGGCTTCTCCACTATAAGCTATACAGCGCCAGTGTCTGCCTTGTTGATCCAACCAAAAAAACACACTCTTCTTCCCTTGCCCCCACAAAAGAATACAGGATCGAGGAACCAAAGGCGTAACCTCATGAGAACCTCCTTGGTGGCCATGGAAAATGCATCTTTGAGCACCGTCACCTCACCTCAAATGACTCTCCCTTCCCTCCGATTCCGCGCCTGCGGCGTGAAGCTCTTCTCGGCCTTGGAAGCTGTATCTCTCAGCCGAGGGCCGAGAGGAGCTCTTCCCAGCGCCATGTAAAGCTATCCAACCATAGGGCATTTGAATCGTACTTGAGATACAAATGGAGCCGGGCAATTCCCAAGACCATCTAGGCATGCAATTTTGCATGATTATTATATACTAACATATGGAAGTGGAGACCCCTCTCAACCACCCCGTTCGGATTGCAAAAGCTCTTCGTGTGTGGAGTGTCATTAATCTAAAGAGTTTACATATGTTTACATGACCCTCCCACAGGGTCACGGATCCAAATCCCAAGAAGCCTCATACCAGCACCTTCCAACAGGTCTCCGATGGCTGGAGGCTTGGGAAGGGCCCTAACAGCTGCTGTCAATTGGTGACCTGTTGGCCGTCGGTGCTGGTATATCTCCTCATCTCTTTCCCTAGCATAGCCCAGACACTCCATGTATGCCATATATGCCTACATTGGGGTGGTTTTGGGGGTCAATGTAGGCATATATGGCATACATGGAGTGTTTGGGTAGGGTTGTTGAAACTCATGTGCACTCCCATGGTCGCTCCGATGATCTCCGATGGGAGCTCCCTTCGGCTCCGAAAAGGCTCCGAAGTGCTCCCGAGCTCCCGAGCAAGTCACCGGCCTGGTCCATTGTGATCTGTTTCTTTGATTGGGGGCGGCCCGCTTGGCCAAGTGCGTCTCATCGTGCTTCAAGTGACTTTGGCTGGTTGCCAAAGTGCTGGTTGCCCAGGCAAGTTGCAGGTCCTTTTCTCAGGAGTCACTTACCCAACCTCTCTGCACACTCGACCGCCGGCTGTCCTTTTGACCGCGCGCTCCGTTCTGCCACGCCGTCGGAGCCCGGCGCCCAGAAGTGCCACTCAGAGCCCCTGAGCGTCGAAAGGCGCCGGTTTCACGATCGACGTCGGGGTCCTGGAAATCGGTTGAAAACGAGGTCGGAAAGTCCTGGAGGACGGAAAAGTGGACCAAATTCCCCAGACCAGAGAACGTATGGAAATAGTTAGTACCATGTTATACCAGGACCCACCAAGGGGCGCCCTGTCTGGAAGCCGAACGGCCGGTAGTGTGGGGTAGTCCAGCCAGGACACCCCGACAGGAGGGTCCAGGTACATACATTTACCCCATTGATGTCCCCATCCATGTAGGAATGGTCTAGGATTCTTCCATTTCCCATCTCTTCTTGTGGATGTGGGGCTTACCTCCTCCCAATCCCCCACACTGTTGGTTTGATGGCCTGGGGTCTGCTTCTTCTGTCCCCTGCCCTGAGTTACAAACAGCATCACACAGCAGTGTTTGAGATCGGACGGGCTTCAAAAGGCAGCTGGGAGAAAGTTTTAAAAGACACGGAACCGCCCAAGGTTCCAAAATGCACTTACTTGGAAAACATCAGACCCCTTTTTGGGGCTCCAGTTCGTATCTCCTCAGGTCTTAGGAGGGAACCCTTAAAGGTGCCAAAGAGCTCTGAAACGGAGCTAGTTGGAGACCAAATCTGACGTTTCAATCTCCCAAATGCTCTTTCAGTACATCCGCATACATCAGTCCAGTGGGTCATGTTCTACATCCATGTTTTGCTGCCGTGTCACCAGCACGTACATTGCAAGGACCGCGACGAAAGCAGCAACACCAGCGCTGGGACCAGCGGCGCTCTTGAGGGACCACGAGGGGCTTGGGTAAACCATGAGGTTCATCTCGGAACCTGGGCGTGTGGCTCAGCAGCATGGTGGGCCAGTGTGTTGAAGCCTCTTTGCTTCGCAGGCGAAGAAGAAAGAAGAAGAAGCAGGACATGCCATGTATATGTCATGTCGCACCTCCACTACTTCAGATGCTCATAGTTGGGAGCCCAAACTGCATCCAATGTATCAAGGGAATCCTATGGAATTCTGCATGCACTGCATGCCTACTGTAACTCTCTGCCTAGCAGCCTAGCTTAAGCGTCTCTTTTTTTCTCGTGGCATCGTTCGTTTGGTGAGGTCAATCAGGCTGTGGTGAGCATCATTTACGACAAGGCCTTCAACTATATCATCTGGCTCCTGGCCCATGAGTCCTCAGGTGAACCCCCTGGCACCCACCCCTGGCCCACCGAACCTCAGGAGGTGGTTCAGGAGCCCTTGAGAGGTGGGTCTTGGCACCCGTCGGACCCGGGCGTCTTCGGCCCTTGGACCAGGGCGCCCTTGCCAGCCAATCCAGCGCCCGTGCGCAGGACCACGTAGCCTCGGTGCTCGAAGCAGCACGCCGCTCCACGCCCAGGAGTCATCATGGAAGAGTGAAGACATGTGAAAAACCACATGCTGCGAAAGGAAAGGGGGTCACCCAAAATTCGGGGCCACGCCATCACTTTCCATCACTTTCCATGATGATGTCGGGGAACAGATCAATGGCAGGTGTAGGTCCGGCCACCCCAATCACGGGCTGGCATGCGTTGGTCGGGTGCGAGAGTCGTTCATTCTTCTGGAGCGCAGCCGGGGGGGCCCAAAACTTCGTGAGGAAACATGTGGGAAATCGTTGGAAAGAGAAGCAAAAAAAATCTTCAGCCTGGGATCCCATTTTTGGAGGATTCGCCATCGAAGCGACACCGCTCCCGGTTCTGTCCACGGGTCCTTCTTGCTTCACCTCAGGGCTTTCTCTTAACCAAACACGATACTGGGACTGGCATATCTACCGACACCGACCATATTCCATATACCAGCCTGGAACCCATTTGACCTCAGTTTTGATAGGATAAGCAAACCATATTTTTGGATCAAAAATAGAGCTCATTCAGGTTCCAGGAATATATCCAAGGTCTTCCAAATGATGCAACACGTCTGCCGAACTGGGCTGTAAATTATCCCTAGGGCTCCAACCATATCCTCAGAAGGTGGTTAGACCCCGCTGGCACCCACCCCAACCATCTTCTCAGGAGGTGGTTGGGGGCCCTAGGGTATATACAAATCAAATGGAAGATCTAATTTGAGCGCTTGGACGTTGATTGGAAAGCGGCCGCAAACAGAGTCGCTACCGCGGCTATTGAACAGCTCCGATTGAGTCGAAGCGTAAGTGGATAAGGAGACAAAGCATGTGCTCAGCATGTGCCTGAAAGATTGCAAGAGATTGGCAGGGTTTGAACTTTGCAGTGGATCACACTGTGGATCACCATGGATCATTCCATTGTTGATCAACAGCCTCTCTCTCTCCCCTGTTTAGGGGCCCCATTTGCAGCCAGAATCGCAGCCAGGGGAAATGTTGGGGAAATGCATTCTGGGTCACTCCCAGGGCCGTGAACTTGCTGCCTCTTCAGCCATGGGACCCATGACACTCTGGCATCTTGACCGCCCCTTCCACGGGTGCCAAAGGGGTCTGCTTGGGATGGCAGTCCTAGTCCCATGGAGCGTTTGGGGAAACAAATCGATCCAAATCGGTCTGGGTGTTCCCTGCCCCACTGCGATTCGCGGCCGGTCCGGGAGATCTGAGGCGAACGAACGAGCGATGCTGCGGTTCTGCGAAGAAAGGGCAGCTCTGCTCTCAGAGTGGTCTGCGAAAATGGCTGGCGACTGACTTCAAAGTGGCAGGTGGTGACTTGGCAGTGAAGATTCTGGTAAAGCAGTTTGGGGGGCGCTGACTCGAAGCAGCTGTGTGGACAGACTCGCCGCTCTGGAGGGTTCGGCCGTTCGGCCGAGCCGCTCTCTCCGGGCATGGCCTGCAGGGGTAGCTGCAGCCGCGACTCCGCCGAGCCATCGCTCAGGATCACCTGGCGACCGGTGCCGGGTCGACCTCGGTGGGGAGAACGGTTGGCCTTTTAAGAGAACAGAACACAACAACGCGTTGTTGAACCACACGTTGTACGGACGCACAACAAAATATAACAGTGCGTGTGTAGACCTAGAAACCCTTAGATTCTGATGTTAGTTCTGATGTTATACCGCAATATATGTACTTTTGGGGTGGTTAGTGGGATTGTCTGTCATATGATTGAATTAAGATCTCCCGCAAGTTAGACATTCGGACCAATTCAAGATGGTCCAGATTGAATGCTTTCTTTTACATTTGGAGTGACTTGGGGGCAAAAGTCGCTCGTGCACTGATCCTTTCATCCATTGATGTTCCTAGGTTCACAACAATACTACCTTTATAAGCGCCTTGGGGAGTTCAATAATGTCCTTTTAGCATCGACTAAGAGAAATAGATTATTAGCGTTTACAATGTACAACAACCTTTAAACAAACAACACTGGATTGAACTACTTCTGGCTGTTCTATTTGGTGGTTGGTTCATTTCCATGCGGCATCGCGGGAAGCAGCACAACCCTTCTGCGCCTGGTAATTGCCCTCCGCAAGGCCAAAGGCGGTGCCAAAGGGCATGACGGTGTAGCCAGGGGCTGGCAAGTGAAATAAATGCATGACAAGGGCTAGTTGCTCATAGCCCAGCTATTCTGCCAAACAGTTTTAACATGCATCATGTATTAAGCTTTTGATAGTGGTTGCCTTTATGTGGTAAACGTTACCGGTCATCTTCAACAAAACAAAGTCGATCAAACAGAACAGATCGACTTCAAAGCCAAAGTAGTATGGTTCTTGGATGGTAAAGCACATGGTGAGGGAGGGACCACATAGCGCGACTTCGATCTCATGTCCAGCTGTCGTCTTGACGGTGATTGAGAGAGGTCGGTCGCAGCTTGGACTCTTCTACCCTTGGGGAGGTCCTTACAGGTGATCCACTCAATTCCTGGGTATGTACCGAACAAACTGGACATTTGGGTTGGATTGCACCTTAGGATGTCAGATATCAACTCGCAGCATGCAATTCCTCCAGTACCGAGAATCGCCGGTACTCCCTCCTGTCATGCTTCAACACAAGCCCTAGGAATCCTTGTCTTTGAGAAGGTCATGTTTTCTGTCACGCCAAGTTCAAGAGAGTCCGCTCAATGCACTTCAAGAGGTCACCGAAACACACTCGCCCATGAGACACGCAGTTTCTGCGGCCCAGAGGCTGGAATTGGTTTCAGCTCCTGACAAGAACACCAGGTTATTCCCTTTCACAAGACTTTTTCTACAGGACAAATTCCAATCGACATACCATGGCATGCCTCTAGTTGTTATGCAAAACAACTCGAAGGTTGTCCCGGCGATCTTCCTGTAGTGACAAATAACAATCACCATTTTGAGGAGCTCTCAAAGGGAGTCTCTTCGGAGAAAAAATGGTCCGAAACCCACTGTCCCTTGAGTAGTGTTCGCTGTGCGGCCCAAACACATGTGCAAGAAACAAGCACTTGCAAATCTCAGGTGTTGCACTGGGTGTGTCCAGGCCAGTAAGTCAAAGACTAGCGGTGAGTATGTTCATGACAGGCGACAGGTCCAATCCAATAAACAGCTTCACAGTATGTACTGGTTGCCATAAGTGGTTGCAGGCTCAACCACTTCAATCTAATTCTGAAATGACCCAGTTCTATCCCCCACTCAATCTGGGTGACGGGGTGGCATTTGGGATTGTCACCATGTGCTTTCTACCAAAGGTTGGGCCCCACAGCCCGCCTGTGTTCCGTGCTTTCTACTACTTCAACTACGCATCCCCATACACTCCATGGGACTGCCATAGGACTGCCGATCAATTGACCCCCCCAAACCACCCCAACTGATCGGCATATATACATGGAGTGTCTGGGATCATTGAGACATGCAACACTAGACATGCACCCCCAGCAGTGGAGGTGCGACCGCACACGCGAAGAAAAACACATCGGCCCGACGGCTGTGTGGCTTGCTGCGAAGTCGTTTGGTCAAAGGGGGGTGCGGCCCTGTATACCAAACGACTGCTTGACCAAACACCACAGGAACAGTTCCTAGTTCCTAGGTGGTTGCCCTGTATACAACATCGACAAACTGAATACAACTGTTCCTGGGACCTTGATTTGCGGATGACACCTTTTAAGGTCCCTTTACAATCTGGGTAACCGCTGATACAGGAGATACACCTATAGATGGTCCTGGACCATGTGTTCCAAACCAACCAGAACCATGCCAAGGGATCATTTTTGCCGAGGGCTACCCTCGAATTTCTCACCAGCAGAATAGCAGAATGTTGACCAGGGTCCAACTCAAGCGGACTGGGCATGCGTTTGGCAAAACAATAATTTGTGTGAGCATTCCCCCAAGCCAACTGTCATTTGGACTTATATAGCTGCACATATCTGTGCACCATGGATCCACCTCCCTCTTTATGAAGGTGTGCACAATTTTTTTGTAGGTGCCAGGAGGGTCCAGTCGTACCTTCTGAGAAAGTGTGGACGGTGTGGATGCCTAGGCAAGAATCGAGCACATAGATTTGGTGCGAAAGCCCAAGTGATGGAAGGCCGGAAGTGTATAAGAGGGCTCGATGAGGGGTTATTACGATTAAAATAGATTGTTTTTTGATCTAAGGCTACGTCCACTCACATAATATAATGGAGCCCATAGACTTCTTCGTGTATCAAGGCTCTAGCTTGCACCACTTGGGTGCGTCCAACCCCGCCGCGCGTCCGTCCTGTAGAATTGGACATCAGCAAGGCTGCCTTGGCTTGCCCCACATAAGTGTCCATCACGGCCACTTGCGCGTTCCTGCAGTCACGACGACCGCGCACCGCGGCGGCCCCCCCGCGTCTGCGGGGAGAAAAACTCAACAGTGGTTTCAAGTAGATGGCACAATGGCCAATAGAAGATGGTTTCAAGTAGATACATTGATATCCTATCCTATTATTATAATGGAGGGTACAATTCCAGTGCAGGGCGTCCTGCTCCTGATTTTATAGATATAAAATGGAGTGATGGACCCCCAGGAAGCCATACAATGACTGAGACCTCTATAAAATCAAGCGTGTTGACCAATATTAAAACTCTATATTTTGAGAAGACTTGACCCCTCTGAAACAAAATGTTAAATCAAAAAAATCAACGCACTCACCCCCCCAAAAAATATATTTCAAAAACATATATACATGTTTATCATCAAAAAATCATAAACATGTTCAGATACTTTATCCGACAGATCTTGGTCTCGGCATCGAACATCGGCTTGCTAGGAAAAGACAGGATGTCCATCTCAAGCAGCCGGGACATTTGTTGCTGAATCATGCGGGTACCTTTGGATGATCTGGTGTAATTGGAGGCCTTGTTCTCGAGCGGCTGCACCAATGGGGTAGAAGGAGGCGCTTTGATGATGGCCACCTTCTTTGCCACCGCAACGGATGACTTCTTCTCGATGGGCTTCTTCTTCCCAGCAGCTTTCCATCGAGCTGCTGTTCTGAAGCACCTTATCTGTTTCTTCTGGCGCTTAGGCTCTGCTTGGATCCCTCGAGAATGGAAGCCTGAACGCCAGTCTGCAGCCACCCGCTTACATATTACAAAACACAAAGCACACACACACACTCTGACATTGGTTTGCTGTTAACTCAGTTCCCAAGTCCAAGAAAGGTGGTGGAACAGAGAGGTGAAGGGTCCAAGCATGTGTAAGTGTTTGAACAAAGTCTAACAAAGTGGTTTCACACTTGACTGCGGAAGCTAGTTACTGCATTAGCCCTTTACTGCAAGAACGGTAAGGTGCAAGGGTCCGAAGAACAGAACTGTTTAACAAACGCACTAGCACTTTGCCAAAGCTAAGGAAACGTGTTTTGGAGGATATCATGCGAACAACCACCATGGAAACAACAAAAGGAAAAGTGGAGTCACAGCGTGTGCAAAAGTTTTCATCCGCGCAGGTACAGAAGTTTGCGCCCAAACTTCCATCCAGTCGATTTCCCTAGCTTCGTTGGCGTGACTAGGAAATCGACCGTCACGCCCCCTGCGACTTAAAAGTTGAGAAAACCAGAAACTGTTAGTTACAGAGGTGGACACACACAGAACGCCGATATCGGTGCTCTGGGGTAACTTATTAATCAGCTAAAAAGCCTTAGAACGAAAGGAACATGCAAAGGAAAGAGAGAGATAGGTGTAGTGACAAGGCCCACTAGTTACGAAACCTGCTAGTTACTGACTACTTAGCCGCATGAATTAAATGCACTAGTTAGCGAGCGGGACATCCGTCTTAAACCGCCCGGGTAGCTAGGAGTAGAAAAGGCGAAACAGAAGGAAAGGTACCGACACACAAGTGTGTCAAGTACCATTTCCTTCTGTTACCCTAGATAGCGGGTGGGATAGAAACACGAATTAGGTTGCAAGGTGGGGGGGGGTGTGGAAGTGCAAGTGTGGACAGACACAAGGAACCGTAACGTGTCCGATCTCAAAGTGGTCGTGGTTGGAAAAGTGAGACAGTACATATTGAAAGTGAAATCAAGCTGCAAACATGAACGTGAGTCCGATCAAAGAGAGTGGAATTGCCGTGAAGCCCGGCGGCATAAGTTGCTGCCTTTGCTCTCTTGCAAACTCCTGGGTACTCAGCACCTGCAGGGAATGCAGTGGTGAAACCAAATCCGTTAAGAGAAGCCAAGGTCTGGTGGAGACGGTCGAAGCAGTTGCACGAGTTCCGGAATGAAAACGGCACCTCCTTGCTGAGGATCACACGAGCGAGTCACACTCTGACATTGGTTTGCTGTCAACTCAGTTCCCAAGTCCAAGAAAGGTGGTGGTAGAGAAAGGCGAAGGGTCCAAGCATTTGTAGGTGTTTGAACAAAGTGGTTTCACACTTGACTGCGGAAGCTAGTTACTGCATTAGCCCTTCACTGCAAGAACGGTAAGGTGCAAGGGTCCGAAGAACAGAACTGTTTAACAAGCGCACTAGCACTTTGCCAAAGCTAAGGAAACCTGTTTTGGAGGATATCATGCGAACAACCACCATGGAAACAACAAAAGGAAAAGTGGAGTCACAGCGTGTGCAAAAGTTTTCATCCGCGCAGGTACAGAAGTTTGCGTCCAAACTTCCATCCAGTCGATTTCCGTAGCTTCGTTGGCGTGACTAATTAGGAAATCGACCGTCACGCCCCCCTGCGACTTAAAAGTTGAGAAAACCAGAAACTCTTAGTTGCAGAGGTGGACACACACACACACCCCTTTGGGAGCTGGCGCCTACTCTCACTCCGGCACGGGAAGTTCTGGCCACTCTGCGTAGACCCAGCCCACCTGTGACCAATGAGAAGCACAGAACACCACCTGGACCTTCAACCCTATTTGGACTCCCTCCGATCCTTTTCGCAGGGTAGGACTGCGGTGGGTTCGGGGGACCCAACGGTGCGCTGGCCCCTTCGGGTGCGTTCGGTGCGCTCCGTCCAGCTGGCCGGGCCCTTTGGTGCGTTCGAAGCCTGCGGTGTTTGGTCGACGTCACCGTCCGGGTCTGCCTGGCCATGGCGAAGAGGTGCGATTGGAAGGTCACGGAATCAGTACCTCAGCGGCGGCGTCAGCGGCGTGGCGTGTACCAGGACCATCCTGGGACCCGGTGTCCTGGCTGGACTATCCCCCCCAACTGATCTGCAAACAGGACACCCAAACAGGATGGTATCGATGGGTGCGCATATGTTCATTGGGAGACCCTCGATTGCCGTGGCTGGGTAGACTGGTCAAACTATTCCACACCTTGGAGGGGGTCGTTTTGCTTGGCAGGTCTCTATCTTCATAGATCTTAATAGACATCGATGTGGATCCACTTGGCTGTGGGTCCAAATGCGGAGCCCCAGCCAAGCGGGTCCCTCCTCTAGGTCATCTATTGTGCTCATGTTCAGTGAGAGAGCCAAGCAAGGTTCCCCCGGTTGAACGACCCATTGCAAGTTGCTGTTGTCGACTGCGCCGCTCGCTGTTGTCGACTGCCCAGTAGATGACTCGGAAACCGCTTCAACCGCTTCATGCTCCTGGTTCGTCGCTTTTAACCCTTTGATCACCTGGTTGGCTCGGTCACAAACCGGCCGCCAAAACGATCACTTCATACCAGGACCCTCCGACAACGCGGGGTGTCCTGGGCTGGACTACCCCCACACTAGGCTAGGCCGTTCGGCTTCCAAACAGGGCACCGGTCCTGGGATGTCCTGGGTCCCTAGGGACTCCCAAGTTTGGTCACGAACTGTTCAGAAGCTGGTTTTCATATCCCAGACACGACCCATGGGATTGCCATATATGCCGATCAGGCCAGGGGTGGTTTGAGGGGTCAATGTAGGCATATATGGCATACATGGAGTGTTTGGGTATGAAAGAATCCGATGGGAAAGAAGCTGATTCAACTGTCAGAAGCTGGGTTTTCCATGTCGGAGTCTGGACTACCTGATGCCGCGAATGGGAAAGAACCACCGCTTCAGGGGCGACCCCCAAGGTGGATCAAGCGAATTGAGACCAGGTGGACGACTTGGTGTGGGATACTTTTGGGATGTTGAGTTTGATGTGGGCATACTGCATACTCCATTGTGGGATTCATCTAAAGATCATCTGCAGCTTGAGAATGGAACAGCAACTACATAATGATGCTTCAGAATGATGCTTCAGAAAGGTCTGTAGGACCTTGGTGGAGTGATTGTAGATTACAGTGGGCCCCCCAAATAAGTAGAAACGGTTTCCATTCATTCTTAGAGGGGCCTGCTTTACTCTTTGCGGGTCGGGCGCCCAAAACAAACCATCTGGAAGTGCAACATCGCCGTGACCCAAAGCAGGTGTCCAAACTCTGGAGACAGCCTCACTGCGAACTCTTGGCGCTGAGAGTAGGGCTGTGTCTTGCCCTATAAGGGCGTTGATATCTTCCTACCACCCCACGGGGATCCTTAAGCCTTAGGGATCCCGCATACCTTCCCAAAAAAGCAATCAGTACTTGGACCCAACCCAGGCACCAGAAAAACAAAAGAGTGTCCCAGTGTCCGTGCTCATCTTCACAAAGGGTGGCAGTGGATCCATAGGGTCCCACTGCAAATCACATGAAACTGTCCATTCCAAGGGATGTGATTCACCGGATCCCACGGATTCACCCTCTTTCTGGTGATCTGGGACCTTCTGTTGACTTCGCCAGGTCCAGGGTCAGTAAGTTTGGATCCGTGGATCGGCTGGGCTCAACAAGCACCGCCGAGTCGAGTTCGAGCGCTGCGGCTCAAGGGGCGGGCGTCCTGGCGCTGGACCTCGGGGCGTGGAGGATGGGACTGGTCCATGGAACTGGGAAGTGTCACTAATCCCTAATTCATCCCTTGAAATGGACAAGCAGTGAAAAGAATCTGAATTAATCTTTTAATACACTCAAAGGCCCATGAGAGCAAACCTTGAGATCCGTCAGATCCGCAAAAAGGGTTCGGGAACTGCAGGACTTGGGGACGCCTGGTTTCGCCGTGCCACATGGGTCGGAGGAGTCTCCGTGCCTTGCCACTGAGATCAATGGCCGAACGTGGTCCATCAAATGGGTGGCAAACGATGAAGTCTTTTGAACATGACTGGCAAGATTGTTTCTATAGAATGCAATATCAGATCCAGCAATAGTAAAAAGCACTTGAAGCATGGATGAGTGGAGCCCCTATCAAATGATAGGACCAGATCAAACAAACACGCAAGAGATCTCTACAAAATGAAATCAAGTTGTCGAGGACTAAAGTACAGTAAGTCGAATATCTGAATAACATATTCTATCAGCTATCAACTACAAAACCCGAACAAAATGAATCAAGGTACAACAAATAACCAGGCAAGAGACCCCAAAAAGTGTGTCTAAAGTTCTAAGGTCTACAGGTCTAGAATGGTCTAGAAGCAAAAGGTCTAGAGATCTAAACGTATTGGGCTCCAAAAAGAGGTGATGATGATGGTAATGGTGATGGTGATGATGATGATGATGATGATGATGATGATGATGTTGGTGGTGATTGTGGTGATGGTGGTGGCGATGGGGTGATTGTGGTGGTGGTGGTGGTGGTGGTGGTGGTGGCGGCGGCGGCGGCGGTGGTGCTGGTGCTGGTGCTGGTGTTGTTGTTGTTGTTGCTGCTGTTGCTGGTGGTGATGGTGGTGGTGGCGGTGGTGGTGATGAGGTTCACAAACCAGGTTGAGAATGGTTTTGAACTGAAGGCTAGGGCTGGAGGTCTAGAGAGCACGCATGTGAACACGTGAGAGCGCGTGTTCATGGGAGCACATATGCAAGAGCCACCCCTTGGGTGGTCAATCCTCCCAGCCCTTGGAGGTCAATCGGGACTGAGAACTCAACCGTGATTCCTGCCAGCAGAGGTTGAAGAACCCGAACTAGACTATCCTATAGGTACCCCTGTAGGGTTCTATAAGGTCACTTAACCTCTGTAGGTGGAATTGGTAAAAACAACAAGTCAAACCAAGCTACAATATGCTTCGAAGCCTGTGCCTGTTGCTGAATGACATTGAAGCAAACCAGGGTTCATGATTTGGCATCTGCAGGCCTCTAGCCTCTAGCGAACAAAAACAACACCACTAACCCTAACTCCGCCACTCAAGCCCAATGAGCCCCTGGCATCACCATGTGCAACGATGTGTTCAGCTAAGGAGGGCGAGCACAACAATAAACACAGATTGCACCCCTCCCCACCAACACCATCCCCACGATTCCAATTGATTGAATGGTTCTTGCATGGCAACAACTGGACACTAAAGGGCTTTAGACTACTTGCAGGCAGGCCAGAACCATGGTCTTTTCCATTCTCTTTCCATGGTCCAACGGGTTATATAGCCACAGGCCGGGTAGTTTTCAGGATCTGCATGGCCCACGGCTTTCCAAGACACCACGATGTAAAGGATGGCATCGTACCTCAGGAGACCCCGAGAAAGGCGACGCCGGAGGCGACCCGCCTTCCTTTCCGGCGACCATCCCCAGCAGTCGGATGGAACTGGGCAGAGATGCGAGAAAAGAGAACCTATATTGCTTTTGTGGAAACCAATGTATGTATATATGTATATGTACATGTATATGTACGTATATGTACCAGCACCCGACTTCACAGGTCACCACCTGCGACTTTTAAGTTTCCCAAAGCCGCCATTTCGGAGACCTGTAGAGTTCGGGTGCTGGTATAAGATCTACCAGGACCCTCCTGTCGGGGTGCCCTGTCTGGAAGCCGAACGGCCGGTAGTGTGGGGTAGTCCAGCCAGGACACCCCGAAAACGGAGGGTCCAGGTATACATAAGCATACATACATGGTTTCCACAAAAGCCATATAGGGTGCTGGTATAAGATATATGTGTCATTTGTTCCTGTTTGTCAATCTTTGGACACATTATGACCAACGAAGGAACCTTGGAACGGTCGTCCTGTACCCGGCCGTCGTCTGCTTGTCTGGTCGTCTTGTCGGGTCGACCGGCTTGTTCGTCCAAGGGTAAGAGACCAAAGAGAAGGACTGATGGAAAGAATGTGGGAGTTGATAATTCTAAATATGGGGGGCATGGGGTTTTGGAATATGGGAGTGTGGTTTAGCAATGTTTAAGTTTAAAAAAATGTGGAGTGGAGTAGTGGCATTTAGAATATAAATTGTTGTGGTTCTTAGACATAGTCGATCACGGAGAGTGTTCTGATCAGCGACATGGAGTCCCAGGATCGTGGTTCCACTGAGTGAATGTCAGAGTCAGCCAAGGCATGAAAAATGGTCACCATCGCCGTGGTTCCAATGATTTATCTACTTGTCTGCCACCTGCTGGGGACGTTTCCAGGTTTCCAGCTACAGTACATACTAAGGCTGACAATGCTTGAAGGGGGAAAGGCAAAGGAAACAGGGCATGACATCGGCAAGGTTAGGCTGTTTATCCCGACAAAAGCGGAGTCTTTTAGGACGTCACCATCAGAATCCTTTAAGAATATACGGCTTCCACATGGTGATACCTCAAACCCCGTCTCTACAAATCCCATTCTTAGACTGTTTGCCAGTCCCTCGTTGGCCTCCATGTCCACGGCACGACCCAAACATGAAACTGGGATTTATACCTATGTACATTAACCCGTCAACCCAGCCTGATCGATCATTCTCCCACAGTGTGCCACATGTCTCAGGAACGCTGGGGTATATAGACCTCTTTCCCACAGACCCCTTTCTTCAAAAACACTCTAAAGTTTAGTAAAATGTTGGAGTGAATAGGCTGCGTGGGCAAGGGGTATACCAAGAGCATGCTCCCAAACACTCCTTGTACTGTTGTACTGGAAGTTATTGGAATATAATATTATAATGTATTGGAATCTATATGCCATACTATATGCAATATATATATATGACACCCCAAACCACCCCAATTTTCTACATCCCAGTGACCCCGGCAAGGAATCCACGGTAAAGCTTCCCATCGGAAGGTGATCTGCGATGAAGTTCAAGCGATCTCCTCAGCAGGACGTCAGAACTGATGGTCTGGGACCGCGATTTCCTTCAGGTCATTCGAATAAGCCCCGTGGAAGATGGCGAACATTGGTCTACCATCGTTATAGATTAATTATTTGTTTATTTAAACAAAACAACTTAATTAAGCGTATACCTAAGCAAAATCGGCGATGGTGAACCCGCCATGAGGGTTAGCCTAACCTGGTACTACCGTCAGCGTGAAATATAGGAAACCACAATCGAAACTCACTACTGGCGCAGCAAATTCCCTCTCTCCATGCATTCACATCCGCACCCTCCAAATGGTCCTGACCACGTCCAAGGAAGTGAGTTCCTTAAAGGATCCACAAATCCACCATCTTTATGAAGGTAATGTCATTTCGTCATGAGACACTCTGGATGATGTCGCCTTTTTTTCAGGGTCCAGGATCCTACGGTGAAGGCAGCAAAGAGGGGCCCCTCTGTGGATCCAGATCGTGCTACCCAGGATCCCACTTGCAGTGGCTTTTCCAACTTGGCCTCATCGCACTCCTCGCGAGTCAGGAACAATGGCAGAACGGACATCGTACCATGACATCCTTCATAAGATTCATGGGGTGTCCATTTCTCAAAATCCCCGGAGAGTAGTGGGCTGGGGAACCAGCCAGGTGACCCCGAACTGAAGGTGACTGGATTGTCTCTCTTGTGCAAAAGTGAGGGGCGTGGGGATCAATTCTTCGATTGTTAGAGGCATGAAAGCCAAGTTCTCGGTCAGAGAGGGTCCATGCCAACGAGAGTGTATGACCTTGTATGACCTTGTGATGACCTTGTACAACACCATCCAACACCACATGACCCCATGAAACCTCCAACGTCCAGCACCAGGTTTGTGAGTTATAAAACATGATAATTAAACCCCATTAGATTGTTGTGAGAATGGATTCTGATGGGTCCCTGGGTGTTTTTGCTCCAAAATGACAAGCCGGATGACTGCTGACTGCTGACCATTGCGCTGACCACTGGCTCATCAGACTGGCTGCTTGGTGAAAGTTGATCAACCTACGCATTTGCTCCAACAGTCATCTCAACCCAAGAATCCGGAGGCCCAAAACACTGGGAGAGGGTGGCGGGCTCAAGAGTTCGGTTCCCCCCCTGCCATACCCAGGGCCCCCAAGGATTCGAGAGAGTCAAGAACTTGTTGGCAGGTGTTTGATGTTTGAAGGTCCTTGTAGGCCAACGAGCTCTTCGTCAAGTTCTGCCCCGCTAGCTCCACTCGAAAGACCTGCACAGCTGTGGAGTCAGTTCGTGACACTGCCGACGTGAGCGCGTGGGGATCCCGTGAAAAAGCCACACGCCGCAACCCGTGACCTTCTTCAAGGCAATCAGGCAATGGGTATTCCACCAAGTGACCTCTCCCTCAAGGACGCAAGGTGGTACATCTTTGGCGAACGAGATGAGTTCATGGGCAAGATCCTTTAAACGCATCTACAACATTGTGGTCCACAAGAACAGTACGATGTCCAACATGTTGGATTCGAGAAAAGGACCATCTTCGCTTCTCAGGGGGCCCGACGTCTGATCACTGAAACTCGGACCCCTAATCTTGCCAGTCGGCTTCAGGGTATAGAAAACTTAGCTCCCAAAGCTCCACCCGAGCTCCCAACCCCCCCCCGAGCTCCTAGCCGCTCCACCCGCCCCGCCTCAGTGCCGGGGTAGGCGTTGCACAAGCGCAGCTGGTGCTGGAACTCCACCGGCTTCAGGAAGCTGGATCGTTTGACCTGCCAACAGAGGTTAAGTGACCTGAACGAACGGACCCGGAAAACCAGGGGTACCCAACTAGGAGAGTCGAACGTTTGGGTTCTGACCCACCTCTGCTGGTGTCTCATGTGTCGATGTCTATTCCAGTTGTAGCCCGGGACTGAACTCCAGTCGAAGGCTCCTGAGGTGAGGGATCGGACTGGGCGCTAGGGAGCCTTGGAGGGTCCAGTCATACCTTCTGAACAGGTACGACTGGAGCCCTGAATTAGAATCTACAAACCAGAACTCATTGGTAGGGGCATCCCTATCAAAATACCTCTGTGGTCAAGATGTGGGTCGGTCATGGCACCTGCATCTTGCCTGTTGACCTCCCTGGTAGGTTGATCAACCAAATTACAGATCCTTGACCTTAGGGCTCCTGGCCCACCGGTGGTTGGGGTGGATGGTTGGAGCCCTAGATCATGGTTACGTGAGGTGAAAACCACCTGCTCAAGGTTCCTTACTGCTTGGCTATGAATCCCGATTGCAACCGTGGCCAACAATGGGACTGGTTTGCCTCGGCCACAGGCAGCACCTCTGAACCTTGATAAGCCTTTTGAGTATGCTGAGGCCCTCATTAAAGGACAAACACTTACCTCAACTGATTGGTAAGTATGGTGTAAACGATATCCCAATGTAGGTCAATATCTAAACCACTTTTCAAGCACCCCAATCTGCTTGGCCCTATCTATACCTTTCATTGCCTGCTTCTCCCTCTTTTCTGCCTTCACCAGCTCCTGGGGTACAAAAACGCCTTCGCCCACCGGGGCCAACCTCCACGTGCGCGCCGGCCACGAGGTCGGCGAGGCCCAGGAGGAGTGCGGAGGACACGAGGTGCATGGCGCCGTCTGCGGCGGCTTCGGCCCGTCGCGGAGTTCGGACGCGAGCATACGCGGGCGAAGGTGGACCGACCAGTGGTCGAACAGCTGAGAAATGTGGGGTGAAGCAAAAAGACATATACACCAATTCTAGATCCAATAGGGTGGCTGGGTCAAGGTTTCCCCCCAACCACCCCATGTAACAAGCAATTCTAAATGGATCTCCAACATCTGCAACAACCAATCCAAAGACAAGCCAAGTCGGACGGACAGGCAACTGCCAAACACCGCCACCTGGAGGTGGTTCCAAATCAGATCGTTCCAGCCTGGAAGCCTGAAACCAATTGATACCCTATGAAGTGGACTGCTCTACTGGAGCAAGCGGGACTGCTCAAGGTCAGGAAACCCATCAAACTGGAACCCCTAAATTGGTTGATGGATCGACTGGATTTGAAGCATTGATTCAACCACCATCTCGCTCAACTCTTGGCTTCGAAGGCCAGCGGCATTGCTTGAGAATCGAGGTTGCGGGGGTGTGGTGAGGCATGGTGATCGGGCTGGGGTGGCCATGTTGCCCAAGCAGTGGTGAGTGGAACATAGAACACGTCAAAGTGCACTGGACTCACTAACATGGAAGTGAACCCACATGGAACCCGGACTGGAAGACGATTAGTGCTCTATGACCTGGTGGTTTTCAGATTCCATGTGGGCCTCTTCCAGTGCAGAAAAGCACTCTCCCGGAACGAACATTCCGACATCCACCGCGCCTGGGACTTCGTTGATGCGTTGGCGTTTGAGCCGCCACAGGCTTGGGCCGGTCAGGCTCTTGCCAAGACTCGAGGTTAGTAAAACAAGCAATTCTTGTAAGGGCGGGGGACCCCAACAAATGTTGTTCCAATATGGCAGGGACCAATTGTCAAATAGAAATTGTCCGCTTAGAAGCCCCGGAATCAATGCGCACCAAGGCAACCCATGTTGGGGCTTGATAGGCAGGTGCTTTGTTTGCTTTGGGAACGGTGTTTTTTCAACCGGTTAAGGCTTAAGGTGCATACTGCATACTGCCAACCTGTTTTTTAATTGAATAGACTAGGGGGCCAAGCTCAATCCGCCGGTAAACCCTTCAGAATGGGCCGGGCTAATATGTTAGCAATTAGCATTGACATGTTTACACCTTGGGTGGATTTCCACGACTGGATAGGAAAGGCACTGAGTATGTCCTCCAGCGACAAGCCGCTTGGTTTCTTGGCTGTTGCAAAAAGCGCACATTCAACATGTGAAACATCCGGGGGTGCATTCCACCACTGCCAATGAAACCAAATCAAGTACCCGGCTGAGGAGATGACGGCAACAAACCCATGCTTTCTGTCTGGCCATCCATGCTATTTACCATATTTACCCAAACACTCCATGTGTGACTGGTATGGGATATTATAGATATCTATGCCCCCATTGGGGTCGTTTCACTGGTCAACCTGATCTATAGGTATATATATAATTCTATACACGGAGTCTCTGGGTTAAACCCAAACACTCCATGGGAACTGGAAGATGTGCCGGCTGCCCCATTGATCTGGATGTCTTCTTTCAGGCCAACCGACTTGCCATGCGTCGACCAGCCGTCTGCATGTTTCATCATTTTCAAACAACCCTGAGAACCAGTGCAAGATTCAAATACACCTTGTTTCTTCGTTCACCCAAGGAACAGTTCCTGCCCAGCTGCTGTTCAAAGTTCGTCAAGTGCAAACACCGGGCGGGTAGTTCAGTTCGTTGAAGCGATGTCCCTCCGGAACCTTGACAGTTGGGTCCCCAAACCCAAAAGCCATAAAGAAAGACCGTCAGCAAGGCTTCCTCCAAGTCCTCTTGCGACAAACCTCAGCCACGTGTGCTTCATCAAAACAAGGCAACCACTGAGTAAACCGATGTGCTAACTACAAAACCTGGGGTACCATCCTCCGGTTCGTCTCCAATCCTGTTCTCAAACAACCCTGTTTCATCCGAAATACTTATCTCACTTTGACTTGGCCGCTGGGGCAAACACACACAAACAAAAACACACGCATGTTTCGACTGAACCGTTCCCTTGTGAAGTCTGACCGATCCAAAACGGCGGGAAACATAGGAAACTTCCAATCAAGTGCGGTGCTATTCGTGGCACTCTACATTTTGATGGGCCAGTGCTCCCTTTGATAAACACAGTATCCAAAACAGGCACCCATAAGGTATCCCAAGGTTCTGAAGCTAAAGCGGCTAGAATTTTCGACATGACTTTTGTAGCTTTCCGGTGTTGAGAAACTCCCTGTAGTTCCTTGGTTCCCTGCTTGGTGGAGAAGAGTCATACCCCCCCGGCGACCCTCATCACCGCTCCCTCATCGACCGCCAAAGCGAACCGTCTTCCGTATTCCTTGACGGACTCCTGAAGGAACCTTCAGAAGCTGCACTTTGCCGCCCAAAGCACTAAAGGCCAAGGTGTCCAAGGCCTGAATCAAAGATGAACAGGATCCATCCCTAGGGTTCCAACTGCCTCCTGGGAAGGTGGTTGCTGTGGGTGCCAGCGGGGGTCTAACCACCGAACCTGCGGATATGGTTGGAGCGCTATAGGGCATGTTTTCCCGAGAAACGCGTCTGGTTAAAAGACCCGAGGACTGGTGACTAGTGGTACATACACATAGGAAAGGCATCCAGGCTTTTGGGGAGTCAGTTCAACACTCTTGTGGGACACTCTCGTGGGACACTCTTGTGGGACACTCTTGCGGGACTCCCTTGTAGGAAACTCTTGTAGGACACTCTTGTCGGACACTCTAATGGGACACTCTCGTGGGACACTCTTGCGGGACACTCTTGTAGGACACTCTTGTAGGACATTCTTGCGGGACACTCTTGTATGCATGGCATTCTTGTGGGACACACAGACTCTTGCGGGCTATATTGGGCTGTCTTGATGGCTATGTTGGGGTGTCTTGGGACTATGTTGAGCTGTCTTGGAGCTATGTTGGGCTGTCTTGGGGCTATGTCGTCTCCATTACAAAATGTAAGTTACATTTTTTGGGGGGGTGGGGTGGGGGGCAAAAATGTAACGTGTATTTTGGGTCCCTCCCGTTTTCCTGGTTAAAGGGGTCGCGTTTATATAATATATATATATATAGTGGCATTCAGAATTCTTCCCATCTCCAAAACAGGTGACCTGCAGGTGATCCACTCCCCAGTTGCTGAAACAGGGGTCAATGTACGTGGAGTGAAAAGGTGGGAAGGTGCCTTTTCCTGTCAACACACCCTCACACCCTCACATCGATTGGTGTCAACAAGAAGTGAGATCCTTCCATATCCTTCCCAACCTTCTCAGAAACACAGAAGTGCGAAGTCTTCAAACTTCTAGCGGTCTTTGGGATGTTTGGCCATGGATCCTGCTAGACCGGTGGGTCGAAGCTCGTCTGACGCATCACTATCAGCCGATAGAGCCAGCACCGCCCAGGAACGACAGAAACACAGGTCAAATGGTCGGAATGGCACTCCAATGGCCTGTCTTTGACATGTCCTCTGGCTGAATTATAGTATTTCATAGGTCGTTGGGTCGTAATTCGCTATTTCAAAATTGAAATGAGGATTAGGTCGTTGAAATACTAAAATATTGGGTGAGGTCGGGGTTGGTGCGCGCGATGCGGCGCGGCGGGGCTGAACAGCGGCGGCAGCTGGCAGCCTGGCAAGACCAAGAAACAAACAAAGTGAAGTGCAAATCGCTGGACCTCTGCTTCTTCTCTTCTTCTTCTTCTTTTTGCTTCTTTTGCTGCTTCCTTCAAAGTAAAAACACCTTCAGAGCGATTTAGATCGAAGCAAAGCGATCCAGGTTGATTGGGGAAACAAAAGCTCCAAATTTGATCGCAATTTGGAGCCTTTCAATTGGGGTGCAAAAGCTCCAAATTGGATCGAAATTTGGAGCTTTTTCAGTGGTGGTCGATCGAAATTTGACTGTGTGAAACTTCGTTGCTGTGCAGTCTGTCTGCAGGGAACCTTTTTTGGTCGGCAGTGATTGTGCCCCACTGAAAAGAAACAAGAGATGTTCCCGGCTCGCCCACGCGCGCCCTGAGCCCAGTTGAGCGGACGGCCCTATCTGCTGCAGATAGGCGGGTTCCAACTTACTGGAGTGGATGGGGTTGCCACTTTTTCCCCAAATAGTGCTCCGCACTAAGGGGTTCTTACGGTAAGAGTTAAGCGGGTTTAGATCAGGGTTCGCGCGTGTGGTTTCGGCATTTTGCGTGGGCCGGCTCGCACAAAAGTTACTTTTTGAATTCCTCATGTCCATTTCGACTGCGCAGGCTCGCATAAAGTGGTGGCCGCGCCTTTCGCGCTTCCGGGACAAAGCTCTCGTGCAGGTGCCGTGCTCGTTTTCGGACACGAAGTGCATTTTGCGTGGCAGGCGCAAGTTGGAGCCTCGAAAAGGTCATTTTACGTGGCAGGTGCAAGGAATCGGAGACTTTGTAAATTTCGTGGCAGGCGCAGTGTTTTGTGGACGTTGCAAAAACGTTGGCAGGCGTGTGTCATTCGCAGGATTGCGTTTCACGTGGCAGGCGCAGGGAATCCGCGCCATGGATGCGATATTTTGAGGTGAAACGGCTGAATTCGTGAGAGGGGTCGCATTTTTGGAAATTGAACTTGAGGATGCTTTTGCGTGGCCAGTGCAGCATTTCGTATGACCTGCAGGCATGATTTCGTCGCAGGCGCAGCATTTCTGAAACGCATTTCAAAATTTGCGAAAGCCTCGTGCAATTTGCTCATTTTGGATCTCCGATGTGCAGATTTCGTGGCAGGCGCAGCACTTTGTGAATCTGGATGTGCAGATTTCGTGGCAGGCGCAGCACTTTGTGAATCTCGATGTGCAGATTGCGTGGCAGGCGCAGCACTTTGTGAATCTCGATGCGCAGATTTCGTTGCAGGCGCAGCACTTCGTGAATCTCGATGCGCAGATTTCGTGGCAGGCGCAGCACTTTGTGAATCTCGATGCGCAGATTTCGTGGCAGGCGCAGCACT